CCTACCAGTATGCCTTTGGAGTGTGGAAGGAAACCGGAGTACCCGGAGGAAACCCACGCAGGCAAAGGGAGAACATGCAAACTCCAGGCAGGTGGTTCTGTGGCTGGGATTCGAACCAACGACTAGTACTGCCAGGCGGAAGTGCTAACCATTTAGCCACTGTGCTGCCAGCTATAGTTCGCAGTGCTGATTGAGCAAAAAAAAAAAATCTGACAGTAGATTGACTTCTGTACAACCACCCTACTCATACATGGATCAAAATTTGACCGGTCCCTGCTGAATCAGACAAAACTCGATTCATGCATGGCTTGCATTAGTTTAGTCAAAAAAATACATAAATCAGCACAAGGGATATGACTTGCTGTTAACCCAGAGTGTCCCTTGTGCTGCTGGCTCCTGGATTCCTTCTTCTGGAAATCTTAAGCCGCCCCCCCCCCCCCCAAGGATCTTCCAGTGCAGTAGGGGCTATTAGAACTGAGGGGGCTATGAAAAGCTGTCATCTAGAGGCTGACTATGCCTGCCCTTTCCACCTAGCTCCTCCATTCAGAGAAGCCATAGTACAGCTTCTACAAATGTGACAGGATCTATGAACAGATGATTGAAAGGTCCACCCCCCGTCCGTAGGGATGCAAGGGTGGCCCTCCTGCATTGACCAATTTTGGGTCTGCCTAGGTCTCAGCAAAAATTGGCATCCTACCTATTTATTTCGGCCAAACGTGCTATAGCTCAAGCTTGGAGAACCCCGTTGGTTGTCTTCCAGGGGGTGAAGACCCAGATGAATGCTATGTTGTTCAATGAACAGATGTCTAGCATTCTTCATGATTCTCATCCGAGATTCCTTAAGGTTTGGGAACCTTGGATATGTTATTCCTTGCCATCCCTGCCTCCTACTAGTTATGGCCTCTTATAGTCGCTGCCTGTGCTAGCCCTGGATCTGTGATTCTTCTAGTTTCCCTTTCCTCCATGTTTTCTTTCTGATTCCTTGTTTTATTTTCTTTTTCCTTTCTTCTAACATTTTTTCTTTCCTCTTCCTTTTCTGATAATATGTTGGATTACTGCTGCTATTATTTTGTTCGGTTTTTTTGCTGTCCCTCCTTGATGTCATTGGACATTACGTTATTTGACTAATACAAGTCAGCAGGATGTATCGGTTTATGTGTTTATTGTTCTGCTCTGCCCATGCGTGGTCGTATCTTGAGCTTGTTGTATTCTTAAAGCAAAACTTTCTTAATAAAAATATTGAAACAGAAAGGTCCACCCCCCAGCACATCACACGGTTTATTTTTTATTTATTTTTTTTTACACAGAGCTCTACAGAAATGTCATTTCAATATAGTCCCATTCACCACAGCAGCATTGCTTATATCCCTTTGTTCAGGCACACATCAAACCCTTGCTTAGGACACACTGCTCATCTTGGATTCAATTCAAAAAGGTCAGTAGAAGGCTACGTTCACGCTAGCTTTGTAGGCAGGCATTTTTCAGGTGTTTAAGGGGCGTTTTTAACGCTCCTCAAATGCCTATGAAAATTATACACAAGGCAGCACACAGTGCTGTTCACACTGAAGCATTAGCATTGTGGCACGACAAAATTAACGCCTCATGTCCAGTCAGGAGGAGCTGAAGCCTTTCAACACCTCCCATTCAAGTCTTTGGTGATGCTCCTCAAACATCTGGCAGATGTTTGCAAGGCATTTGCGGAGCGTTAATAACATTAACTTCATTATAGGCGTTTGTGGTGCAGTTTTAACGCTTGTAAAACGCCTATCAAAAACCTCAAAAACTTGCATAGTCTAACTCTTGTCAAATGCTATAGGGGCGTTTGGGAAGAGTTAGAAATGAGTCAAGTGTGAACGAGCCCTAACAATGCGTTTATAACCATTTGAAAGTTTTTAATGCATGTTTTGCTAAACTAAAAACACAGCAAAACACACAAATCTGCAGCCAAATGTGTGATAAAACACAGAACAGCACATGGCAAAAAAATCTATCACATTCTACTGGACTCCAGTAACAATCCATCCAACATGCTGCAAGATTTACAAACCAGTGTTCATGTCTGGAATGTTTAGAAACTCTTAAGGCCCATCCACACCAGAAGCTGCGCTAGAATGCAGTTGCTGGTGTTCAGTAGGATGACAGCAGGGAAAATTGCGACACTTATAACTGTTTACTTTTTTTTTTTTATTAATAAATTTTACTGAACTGTCACAAAATCGCATTTCATTGAAAAGTATGTAAACCCAACATTTCATATTCCTGATATGTTTCTGTTGTACAATGTACTTATATGAAAAAGTGTCCTGTTCTCTTTCTATAGTTTGCTCAGTGTTCCTGCCAGACCCTCTGCTTTCCTTTTAAAAACTTACCACACTAGGCAAGAAAGCACAGCATGGTCATTTCTCTAGATGCGCTGCACTTCTCCAGTGATCAGACTTGTTCTGACAAACCCCCCCCCCACCATTCACTGGAAAGATCAGTGTGCTGTTAAGTGTGATCACGTATTAAAAAAAAAGTGGGGGTACAGTATTAATAATTTTTTTTATATCTATCCAAAAATGTTTTGCCTTTCCTTTCCATTTTAAACTGAATGGGTTGTTATACAAGGTGAGGGTTTGCAGCAGATTTCATTGCACTGAAAAAAAAAAAACAAGCTGTACTTTTTCTCAACAAACACCACTGCAATGTGGTGGTGTGAACTGGCCTGGTGGGAGACAAGGCATTTTGTCTTGTCTGGCAGTGGGACTATGTCCAGCACAGTCCTACTGCACCTTGTGTGAATGGGCTCACTTCCTGATCACGCGATAGCCTCTAATTGGCTATCACAGCATTCCGTCACTGTTAGGTCCACCCCGTGTGTGTTTCTACTACAGAATGGAGAAAAAGGCACATTGTATCTTTTTCTCCTTGCTAGAAAATAAAAGTGTAAAGAAGTGTGTGTAAAAAAACAAATATTAATTTTAAAAAATAGCTAGAGGTTGATCTAGGTCAGTGTCAGGTTAGGATCAAGGTCAGGGTGAAATTTCAATGTTCAAAGTCAAAGGTCGGGAGTGTATTTTAGAGAAAAAAATAAAATGATTAAGTATAAATGTTAATCAGTATGTTTTAGAAAGGAGCGTCGGTATCCGATCCGCACCCTATCCATCTAGCGCAGGGGTCTCCAAACTTTTTAAGCAATGAGCCAGTGTACTTTCCTTAAGACTTAAAGCGGAGTTCCACCCAAAAGGGGACGTTCTGCTAATGCTTTGTACCCCGCTCCCCATTAAGGATTGGCACCTTTGGGGAGCAGGTACCCGAATTTGACAGGTACCCGCTCCCACTTATGCTGCAATCACCTAGGCGATCGGAAGCGGAAGTTGTCCTCCCCCCCCCCTCCCCATAGTCTTCTGGGACATGTGACAGGTCCCAGAAGACTACGGGGCCATTCACAAAGCGCAGCGCTTCTCGCGCACACACAGTGGGCACCCGGCTGTGAAGCCACAAGCTGTCACAGTCAGGTGCCCACACTAAAGATGCCAGCACCAGGGAGAGAAGACGGCCAGTGAAACCAGTGGTGGTGAAGACACCACTGGACCGAGGGACAGGTAAGTGTCTGTATATTAAAAACCAGCAGCTACAGTTTTTATAGCTGCTGACTTTTTTTCTTTCAGCTGGAACACTGCTTTAAGAAGGGCCACACTGTAACCATCGGGAGTAGATGTGCCCCACCACTGGTGTCATCGGGAGGAACTGTGCCCCACCACTGGTGTCATCGGGAGGAACTGTGCCCCACTGTGCCCCCACTGGTGTCATCGGGAGGAACTGGTGTCATCGGGAGGAACCCCACCACTGGTGTCATCGGGAGGAACTGTGCCCCACCACTGGTGTCATCGGGAGGAACTGTGCCCCACCACGGGAGGGATTGTGCCCCAGCACTGGTGTCATCGGGAGGGATTGTGCCCCACCATTGGTGTCATTGGGCCCCATTGTTGGAGTCATTAGGCAGAACTATGCCCCAACATTAGTGTCATTGGGAGGAACTGTGCCCCATTATTGGTATCCGTAAATGAAATAGTGCCCCAAGGGCAGGACAAAAGCAAACAAAAGGCCACATCTGGCCCCCGGGCCACAGTTTTTGCGACCACTGATGTAGCGAATCGGATGACAGTAGGATGTAAATGGACAGGCAGTCTGATTACAGGAGAAAGCGGGCTTTGTTTGCATAAGCAGAGCGAACACGGACCTGTCATCTGCCTGCTCAGCAAGGATTAGCGAACAGATTCCCCAATGAGCAGGCGGATCCGCTGGCAGAATTCACCCCATGTAAAAGGGACTTTAGGATTTGTGTTACCTTCAACCTGAGGGGGTGAAAGTGTATGTAAAGACAAAAACTTGTTTGCTTTGGATAGAGTATGTAAGGATTAAAGTAGAACTCCAGGAAAAAAGTTTTTTTTTTTTTTTTTAACTGGTCTAGGGAGGCTGTGTGTAAAGCTGGCCATACACTATACAATCTCCTTTAGATTTTTCTTCCTCTGCCTGTAACTGACAGGATTTTCAGGGTGGCTGGGGAGATTTGGGGGGGGGGGGAAATGTGCATTGACTTTTATCGCTTCCACAATCCTCACCTGGGCCAGGATGACATTCCCTGCTCTGCCCCTGCCTGCAAGGGAAACATCACATGTCCCTGGAGGCTGCAAGACCATTCACAAAGCAGGGTGCGAGCGCAGTGGGGTGAGTTGCCAGGAAAGCACAGCTGGTGCCAGTATCCAAGATGGTGGCAGCGGTGACCCATGGCAAAAAGGAGAGCAGGCTGCAGGAAGACAGCACTAGACCCCAGGCACTTTGTAAAAGTCAGCAGTAGAGTTCCTCTTTAAGATATAAAGCCCTTACGTGGGGTGACTTCAGTCACAAGGCTGCTGATAGGTTTGTATGGCCCCATGCAGGACACTGACAAGTCATATGACCACAGGCAGCCCCCCCCAGAACCATGTTGCCAGCCTGTACACAGGCCCCTCACTCACCTCCAGCTTGTGGTTGATCTGGCTGACGGTCTGCGCTTTATGACACAGCTGAGCGAAGCAGGAGCTCAGGCTGGTCATCTTCTGGCGGCCCTCATAGGTGATGTCGGCCTGGTCAGGGTCTATCTCTCCCAGCAACAGATCCACATCTACGAAGGCTTTGTCAAACTCCTTCTCCAGGACCTCCAGCCAGCGGAACATGGACATCCCGGGAACCGGCCCCGAGGATGAAGCACCCGAGCACGGTACTGCCGACATGACAGCGCAGCGGAGACGGGAAGATGGAGAGCGTCACTCACACCAGGCGTTACGGCAACCTGCCGGCGGATTGGCTAATCGTTTTACAACGCTGCCTTCCGATTGGCCCATTACGGTAGTGAAGCCAAGACCTGAAAGTGTGCGACGCACTCAGATTGGTCCAGCTACAGCTAGGTGCTCCAACCCTCATTTATGATTGGATAAAGTGGCCACCGGGGCGGGGGCGAATTCTTTTGCCCTGGCTAGACCTAGTACTTGTCTGCAATGCTTTTACTTATCGTAATATACGTGTACTGTGATGGTCCACGAAGTCATTGGAGTACCCTGTCCTCAACTCGTTATTAGCCGCTGTTGGACGTCTCCTTATTCTTCGCTTCGTAAACGTTTTAGTCAGTTCCGTTTATACATCGGTACTCGTGTTTTCTTGTCTGCCACAACTGATCGGCTAAAGAACAAAGCAAGCGATTGCCGAGAGATCGCTATGTAAGTCCCGCGAGGCTAGACACACCCGTCCAACTGTGATAGCTCTGTGTCTTACTGGTATAGTTAACGCTGCTTCCTGTTCAAGTGTGTCTAAAGACAAAGCTTTATTAGTTTTCAGGTAGGAGGCTATCAGAACTCCTAACAGGCGCCCCTGCGGAGATTTCACTTCACGTCCTGTCTGGGAGGCACAGCAGGAAGTGAGACCTAATCTTTTCAAAGTGAAGGTGTTTCCATCCCACATGGAAGAAAAATATATTTTAAAAATATTCTTCCCAAATATATTGGCATGTATTTGAAATACTATAATTTTGGCAATATTCTATATATATATATATATATATATATATATATTACATGTTGAAATGCATTTTTATTACAACATAAATGAAAAATATTTTTAAAAATACATTTCAAATATACTGTATGTATTTAAAAATCCAAAAATACATTTTTGGAATGCATTTACAAATATATATAAAAATATATGTTAAAATTACTTTTTTATATGTTAAAAAAATCTGAAGAATATATTTTAAAAAAATATATTTTTAAAAATATTTTGTAATAAAAACACATTTCAACATACAGTTTGTGTGTGTGTGTGTATATATATATATATATATATATATCCATTTATAACTCTGCCCCAAATTACATCACCAATTTTGTCTCTAAATATCACCCCAAACCGTACTCTCCGCTCCTCGCAAGAGCCTCCTACTCTCTAGCTCCCTTGTCTCCTCCTTCCATGCTCGTCTCCAGGATTTCTCCAGAGCTTCCCGCATCCTCTGGAACACTCTACCCCAATTTATCAGACTATAGCCTACTCTGCTCACTTTTAGGCGATCTCTGAAAACCTATCTCTTCAGGGAAGCCTATCCTGCCCTAAGCTAATACTGGAATCTTCTACTCCTCCTACCAGTCCATCCCCCACAGTTACTACCTTTTGTACCACTAGCCCCTTCCTCCTAGATTGTAAGCTCCAGAAAATCAGTGTTAATATTTGGTACAGAAGCCTTTGTTTGCAATTACAGAGGTCAAATGTTTCCTGTAGTTCTTGACCAGGTTTGCACACACTGCAACAGGGATTTTGGCCCACTCCTCCACACAGATCTCCTCTAGATCTGTCAGGTTTCGGGGCTGTCGCTGAGCAACACGGAGTTTCAGCTCCCTCCAAAGATGTTCTATTGGATTTAGGTCTGGAGACAGGCTAGGCCACTTCAGAACCTTGATATGCTTCTTACGGAGCCACTCCTTGGTTATCCTGGCTGTGTGCTTCGGGTCGTTGTCATGTTGGAAGACCCAGCCACGACCCATCTTCAATGCTCTGACTGAGGGAAGGAGGTTGTTGCTCAAAATCTCACAATAAATGGCCCCATTCATCCTCTCCTTAATACAGTGCGTTGTCCTGTCCCCTTCATAGAAAAGCACCCCCAAAGCATGATGTTACCACCCCCATGCTTCACAGTAGGGATGGTGTTCTTGGGATGCAACTCATCCTTCTTTTTCCTCCAAACACGACGAGTGAAGTTTAGACCAAAAAGTTCTACTGTGGTCTCATCTGACCACATGACTTTCTCCCATGCCTCCTCTGGATCATCCAGATGGTCATTGGCAAACTTCAGATGGGCCTGGACATGTGATGACTTGAGCAGGGGAACCTTCCGTGCAATGCATGATTTGAAACCACGGCGGCGTAGTGTTCTACCGACAGTGACCTTTGAAACTGTGGTCCCAGCTCTCTTCATGTCATTGACCAGCTCCTCCCTTGTAGTTCTAGGCTGATTCCTCACCTTTCTTATCATCAGTGATACCCCATGAGGTGAATCTTGCATGGAGCCCCAGTTCGAGGGAGACTGACAGTCGTCTTTAGCCTCTTCCATTTTCTAACAATTGCTCCAACCCAACAGTTGATCTATTTTCACCAAGCTGCTTGGCAATTGCCCCGTAGCCCTTTCCAGCCTTGTGGAGGTCCCCAATTTTGTCTCTGGTGTCTTTTGACAGCTCTTTGGTCTTGCCCATGGTAGTAGTTGGCGTCTGACTGACTGTGGGGTGGACAGGTGTCTTTAAAGAGCTCAGACAGGTGCTACTAAGTTAGATTAATGAGTGGAGTAGAGGTGGACTTTTTAAAGGCACAGTAACAGGTCTTTGAGAGCCAAAATTCTTGCTGTTTCTTAGGTGTTCAAAACTTATGTTCAGCAGTGCAACACAAATAAATTCTTTAAAAATCATACAATGTGATTTCCTGATTTTTTTTTTTTTATTTCTGTCTCTCAGAGTGGGAATGCACCTACAATGTGAATTTCAGACCCCTCCATGATTTCTAAGAGGGAGAACTTGCAAAATCACAGGGTGTTCAAATACCTCTGTTCCTCGCTGTAAATCCTGTATAATAATAATATATATTGAATATGGCTAAAATTGTAGCATTTCAAATATATGTCAATATATTTGGGAAGAATATTTTTAAAATATATTTTTCTTCCATATGGGATATCGGACAGGTGTCCCCAATTGGAGACTAGAGCCTAGTACACACAAGGAGAATATCAAACAAAAAATACCACTTTCCTAGCAATTGTCTGATGATTAGTACACGGTTTTCAAGAGCGGATCACGACAGTTCATGTGAAATTATCCGAAGGGACAAGCACGAACATTTTTTTCTCGTAAGATAACAGAACGAACGATTTTCATTTAATAAGTACAGTATTCGTTCGTACAAAAATCAAGTGACCAAGACCGTGCATGCTCAGACACGAAGGAATATACTGTTTTATGAGAATTTTCATAAATTGTAACCTATTCACTTTTGATATGACTAGCATGCAAAAAAACGGACAATCATTCATCCAATATTTTCATCCTGTGTGTGTCACCTTGTGTGTCTGTACCAAAACCAAACATTCCAGGGGATGTAAACTTTTGATCATGGCCATTTGGGTGATTTCTGTTATCATTATGATTTAAAAAGGAGCCAAACAACTAATTGATAATAAATAGCTTCATATGATCATCATCCTTCAATAAAAGAGCATTTTTTGGCATGATCAGCCATATTTTCAATATCAATTCCACAATTTCACAATTTCTGCCAGGGTGTGCAAACTGTTGAGCATAACTGTAAATGCTCTTGAACCTGGTAGTGCTGTTAGCCCAATTGCCAGCAGTGATTCAATACCATGAACCGTAATACTTCTTCTTGTGCCACCTCAGTGCTCACAATGCTCCCACCTTAACACTGGGTCACATGCCTGATGAAGGGGTCCTGCTATCCTCTGAACCTTTTTTTTTTCTGAACCATGTGATTGCAGAATAAAGCTTTGGACCCACAGTGGAGATCCACTGTGTGTTGGTAACATTCTTCTGCCTTGACGATCTTCAAGTCCAGCCAATGGTCGCTACGCCGCACCTGCTTGCATACACAGCCGTTATCCACAAACATGTGCATTGGTACACCTTAGTGCTATGACCCACATTTAATGTAAGGTCGTGTAATGCGTGCTGTGTGACCACCAGGGTTTCCTAAGTACTTGTAGAGTCACCAGGACCTCCTGTCCACTAGGGTGCCCAAATGCACACTTAGACTCTCATCCAGGAAAATAGGTACACCCTTTAACCTCCCTGGAGGTATTCACGAGTGTAGCTCGGAGTAAAGTTTCAGCACCACAAGCGGTAACCCCAAGCTACACTTGGTCATACCCTGCAGCGCTGCTCTGGGATCTCTTCTTCACTTACCTTGTCCTGCGCTCCCGCGATGTCCCTCCTGCAGTGTCCCTGGCAATGTCCTCCGACCAATGCCGGCATCTGTCTTCCGGGTTCCGTTGCCTGCGACGTCGGGACGTATGGGGGACGGAACTGGTGGGAAATTTGAAAATGTCGAAAACTGACATTCACTAAATACAATAAAATCACATAGTAAAACATTACTGTATCAAACCATTTCACATACATTTTGTCCCTAGTGCTTTGTCCTGCGCCCTGCCTGCATTTTTACTGTTCTTTCTGCCTGGAAACTGAGAAATGTCCATGGTGTCCAAAAAGCTTCCCTTTAGGTCAAAATCGGTTTTAGACCAGCTAGAGAACAGCAATAGTAAATCAGAACCACTTGCAGAATTGAGTGATAATGATTCGTGGGGAAATTCCTCATCAGACACTGAAAACGATTTTGCGACTTTGCTCAGTGATGTGCGAACTTGGCACTATATTTCAAATTTCAATGTTTTTGGTTTGATTATATTATTGAATTAAATTGATTATTATTATATTATTTTTTATGATTATTTATTAAATTAGAATTTATGATTTCGTGTTTCAAATTTTATCCTACCCGGGATGTTTACTAGACTCTTGTTCGGACAGATTTCAGTGAGTTATTCCTAAAAATTACAGCCTACAATAAAAAAACTACATATTTCCATGCAAAAAAAGTACCTCTTTGAGCACAGAAATACTGACATAATCAGACAGCTAGGGATGTTAAAGCAGTCTTTCTCAACCTTTTCAACACAGAGGAA